ATATAGTTACTTTATAGTTACTTTATAGCTAATTACAAGTAGCATTAAAGTTGCAAATTTGCAAGTTTCAGTAAAGTTCATGCCTCACATATATCTTACTTAGCTTTGTGCATTACAACTAACTATTTTTAGTAATATCATATTTACTCTACATCTTATATAATTAGTCATAACTTCTAATTTAGTATGTTAAATGTCTGCTTCTAATAAGCTTCCAATTTGGTATATTTGTAAATACAATCTACTACAAGTTCTCACCAAGGTACTTTATTTATACAACTATAATTGATATAAGTAGTCTTTTTATAGCCTTGTATCTCAAGCCAGGACTTGCTATCTAGTTAAATTTGCTATATAACAAAGTTGGCATTGCATTGTTAAATTAAGGACTTATCTTGGGTTTGCACTATCTTAATTAGTTTGCATCTCTTCATATATCATCTCTTTTTATAAATGTCTTAATCTCTCACTTATCTGCCAGGTACTACTAATCTGTATTTTAAGCCAAGCTCTGCTGCTACTACTGATTTAACTACTTCAGGACTTAATATTATTTTTAATATGTGGTGTCAACTAATCTATTTGTATTTTCTCATATAATATATTATCAAAACCTTATTGTGTAGCTACTTTAATGATCTATCTTGTTAAAAACTAGCCTAATATCACAAAATTTTTTAAGTAGCAAGCAGGTCTATTTCTAACTATAAATTTTGCATTATGTTATTAGAAAATATACCTAATTCACTTTTGTCTTCCAACTTAACTCTTCATCATTAATTAATGTTGCATTATTGTTAGTATATTCTGGCTTCTTTCATCAAAGACTTCTAAATAGATATGATTAGAGCTTTAACTTGATGTCTTTAGACATATTAGATTAGCTAGTCTGCCTCTATGAAATTACTTTCTTTAGTTAATTATTCTTTACTATCAAAGGTGCTTTTTGTTTAGATAAGGTCAATTCTTTATTACAGCCCTTTTACATTTTCACTGCTTCTCTTACTATTTTAGTTTCAATAGTATTGTATCACTCTTCTAGGCAAGTACTCAATACTGTTTTTAAATTAGATCTAATATATATAATCTGTTGATCATTCTTCTAAGCAAATATTCTATAAGTTGGATGTAAGATGTTGGTGTTGCCAAATATGAAGATGAAGTAATGTTGGTGTTGCCTCTGAGTCATCTTAGCTAAAAGACTAACTTGTATAATCTTCTATAGCCTAGATCTTCTATAATACTACTATTACACATAATATCTACACTCCATAATTAGACCTTCTTCTTATTTCAAAACTATACTTGCACTTGGACTTTTTACAGGACTTCGCATCTAATTATAGCCTCATAAAATTACAGTAACAAATTTGAAAATTTGCCATCAGCCTAATTTGAACTGTTGACCTTGTTTGTGGAGTTGGAGAGCTTAACCAGTAAGCTATGGAGCCCAAGCTCTGTTTTTAGAATTTTTATACTTTAAATAAGATATAGATTTAATAAAAAGATTAAGTAAATAAAAAAATATATAAATATTCTGCAGTTATTTATATATAATTTTTAGCCTCTAGTACAAGTTATAGTATATTTTATTGCTTCTTTGTTTTGTTTTATCAAGATTTTTATACTAGATAATAGACTATTACTTTGTATAGTTAGAAGTTTTTATCTAGTTAACAAGTTTTCTTCCTTTTAATAATAGTTTCTTTTAGATTTATAGTATAAATTTAATTTCTTTATTTTTTTTTTAAATTTTAGCATCTTACTAGCAACTTTATTAGATATTTGTTAATAAATTTTTTTTGAATATTAATAGTGAGACTATATTTTTGTCTTTATTGAAATTTAATTAAAATTTTTTGTATAGAAAAGAATTACAACTTAAATTTTATATCTTATAATAGCAAGAAAAAAAACTCAGACTAGTTTATCTGTGGCCTAAACTAATTTGTTAACAAATTTATATATATTATTATATATATATATATTTTTTTTCCCTTGCAATGTCACGAACAGGTGAATTTTTATTAGGTATTTAAGTAGTATATTTATCACCACTTACAATTACACTGACCTATAACCTTATGCTGCTACATTTAAAGATCACTCAGATCGACATGTGCTACACTACTTGTATTCTAATTCTATAGATAACCTAATAGAGTTCTTATATTTACCGGATTGCTCTAGAGAGGATGTAATATATACTCACCTAATCTTTCTATATTCTATACATTTTCAGACTAGGCCTTTTTGGTAACTTACGCTGAGTCTAAGAACAAGTATTTGCGAGTCGAAACCGCTACAGTTACCTACTACTGCTTTTGTAGAGTTCACCCAAACCCTGGTATCTACTTTACGGACTCTATCTCATACCTCCAGAAACCCAAACTCCCAATTCTACAGCCCGAAAGAGCGAAACCCTTCTGCTGTTTTTTTCTGTTAGCCTGGTTGGTATAGTGTTTTTGCCAAACACCTCAGTCCTGTTCGGTTTTCCAGTATCTGATTAATTATTCTTTATATAGTAATCATCAAAAATCCGTGCTACCTCTCTACTTGGGTCTAGCCAAGCAGGCTTCCATACGCTGTAAATTTGCTAGATTTATCTAGTAGTTTTACTCAGGTTTCGTGTAATTCGTACATCACACTACATGTTCCACAATCTTAGTACAAGCTGGTACGACCACCATTACAGGTTCTACAACCCAATAGAATACAGTCTTCTAAATATGTTTTCTATAATTCGAATTTTTGTCGCCAGTGAGATTCGAACTCTAGTCCTGCTGCTTGGGGGTGCGACAACTTGTCAACTTCACTAAGTCACTACACCCTATTATTATATATTATCTATTACAGAATTATATATATACTAATATATTTGGCTATCTTTATATAAGTACTCAGATATAATTTGCTGCATTAGACTGATTCTATAATTAACTTTTTACTACTATTTTAAACAATATCAGAAACTAGTTATTAGATCTAAAAGCTTTTTTCTGAACAAAATTCTTATATCAGTTTATAGTATATATACTCTATTTATCTACTATCTGAATTTTTAGCCTTTTATTATTACTTTATTTAATTATACTACATTTCTTATCTTTTTTTTACTATACAACTTTTAAATTAATAACTTTTAGATTATAGAATTTAACTTTCTTATTATTAGTAACTGTTTTTATAATATATATATTTTTATTATTTTTTTTTTTACTTTCTTTTTTTTTAATTTTTTCTTTACAAAAAAGGTTATTAATTTAGTGATATTTTATTATAAAGCAAAAATTTTGATGGTATGAGCAACAACCAGCTAGTGAATTTAAAGAAAATAAATCTAAAATAAGTTCCAAATCTTTAAAGAAGACCAAATGTTGCTAGGCAGGTTATATCTAAACATAATATAGCAAATTTATAGTTTGCTATATTAATAAGTAAATGCTAGAAGTGAGTTTGACTTTTGGTTAAAATATTACAAAATTATACCTACTTGTATATGTAGATTAGTTTTTCTTCAAATAAAAGTAAACAGGATTCACTTTAGAAAAAAAATTTAAAAAAACTTTATCTACAAGATAAAAATTACAAAACAAATTTAGCTACAAAATAAAAATTACAAAACAAATTATTTATTTATATATCTAAAATTAAATTTTATATTTTAAAAATTTTTAATATAAACTATATTTTTTTAAAACTTTAAATCTAATTTTATTTTAATATTAAATATTCAATAAAGATAAATTTTAATAAAATTTATATATTATACAAATATGCAAATTATTAATTACAGGTTACCCCCGTTAATATCAACTTCGTCAATATCAACCTAAGCCACAAAACAAATTTTTATAAATTTTTATATATCAAAATTCCCTCATACATATCAACTTTAATACGATTTCTCGTTAATATCACTATCAAAATGATTTAAACCAATTCAAATAGGTTGATATTAACGAGGGTAACCTGTAATATCTTTATATACTATATAAAAATATAAAAGCTGTTTTGTAAATTATAATATTACATTATAAAATTCTTAGTATTTTTGGTCATCATTAAACATATGTTGATTTAAAGTGTTTCGCGCTATATTTTAAAGATTTGCAGAATGTTTATATACATTTATGCACGTGCGATATAATCGCAATTTTTTTGAAAGCATTAATAATAAATAAATGATATGAAAAAACGTGAATCATGAAAAATGGATATTAAATAATTTATAAATGTTAAAACACTAAACCAATATAGGAAAAGAGTAAGGTTTGCATAAATCTTGTAAAATTAAACATGTTTCGAATTTAAAAAACGGGGGTTTTTTGCACTGGACAGAAAAATATTACAATTTAGAGGAATGATTAAGATGGGATCTATTCAGCAGACTAACAGATTGGAAAACTTGCGCACGTGATCACCCACATTCATCTACGTACGTACGTACGTACAGCGAATGATCAAGATCAAGATCATGTGAGAAATCCGATAACAAGATCATAGCGATAGGTAATAAAGACCGGAGTTTGACAATAAATTTTATAGGAACACAAACTTCTAACTAAATACTGAAATAATAAAAAGTGTTTCCATTTAGTGATCATAAGGAGTTGAATTACCGTAGATATCAGACAAGGATAACTAAATTTATTCGAAATAAGAAATAATTTAAAAAGACATTCGAAAATTAAGATTACTCCTGAAACAAGCCTATTATTGTAATGAAGAAATTTTGGAATAATCAATAAAATGGAGCATTATAAAGTACATTATGATAGGTCCATACAAACAATGGCAACAATAAAGGTGATAAGATGAATGCTGATGAGATGCGAGCGTACGTACGTAGGTGCTTACATGATCCCGTGGAGGAAGGCTACAAGTGTATATTACGAGCATAATAAGATGAAACAAAGAAATGGTAGAAAGAAATGGTAGAAAGTGGCGTAGTTTATCAATAGTATCAGATAGAAGATTTAGAATAATTTAACTGTATTTGACAGTTCTTTTTCATACTTGAAACAAAGAATACAAGGTAAACTTTACGCCAAATTATTGTTAAACGAATCTGGGCTTAGCGCAGAACGAGGATGGTTACTAAAGCCATGCCAACCTTTATCAGGTAAATTGGTTGAATTTCTTTATTTGTAACAATTGAACAATCAAAAGACGTAGTTTGATCAAAAGTTTGTAGCAAGCAGGCAAGCTCACGAATAAGCGCGCATAGCTTTCACATAACTTTTACATACATGCGTTCTATGTATGTATGTATGTACATACAGTATGTATGTAAGTACTTGATAACTTGATAAGGTGATATACCATTACGTATATAAATATTCTGAATATATACAATGTACATCATTATCATTTGAAAAAAAATTAAAATTTTGACTTTTAAAAAAAAAAGCCAATCATTATAATAATGCGCATGAAAACCTAAATGTTGTGATCAAATATATAAAAAAAAAAACGCGTCTCGTGTTTCTTCTTTTTATGTAATATTAATAAAGAATTGATCATCATAAGTCATGTGTATCGGAATAAGATAATTTAATAACTGGATTTTTTTCCTAAAATTTAATTCTATAAACCTAAATTTAGAATTACCTTAAATCCTATGTTCCTAAAACGGAATCATCCATCATAATGAGATTCCGTCTCCTGCAGGTTTTGGAACCAATGAATCAACCTAATTTTTAATAACAATTGCTTTGAATTCTACGTAGTAAGTGATTTGTCTTGTGATGCATTTTAAGAAGTTAATAAACAACTGTATATTCGTACGTACGTATGTATCGATACGTATACGCATTATGCATTTATCTAGGTATACATAATTTAGGTAACGTAATTTAGATATACATGATTTAGGTATACATAATTTAGGTGTACAGAGTAATGTTCTATGGACAAAGTCTAATAAAGTCCGAAACAAAACAAAATACACAACAACGAGCAATATTCAGCTTGAATTAATAATGATTATTTCTAAAAAATTTTAACTTGTAAATTAATAATGGTTAATTGATGGTTTAATTAATGGTTCAATTAATGGTACAATTAATGGTTCTAATTATTTGATTTGTAGATTAGATTCAAATACTTACCCTACTATACAGTGACATTCTATATATCTAATCATATGATGTATGAATTGTGTTATTTGTTTTGAATAACGAATAAATAAATACTAACGCTAATACCCTGATACGTACGTACGTAATACACCTGATAATAAACCTGATAATACACCTGACATTATAAATAAATATGTAAATTTCTTGTGTAAGCATGCATCTGAACGGAAAATTAAAAATTATTTTGTTGATATTTGATCTTAAAATGTATCAAAAAACATCCTCCGTTAAGCTCCGGACAAATAACTTTATTTGGATAGAGACTCGTGATCGATCGGTTATCACGATCAATAATTATCTAAGCAATGATCACCTAATATCTTTTATAGACATACGCGTCAAAAGGTTAAAAAATGAGAAAATGAAGAAGAATACTTATGCATAAAAAAAAAAAATATATGTGAAAAGAAATTTTACAAAGTAGGAAAAATTCTTTTATTTTGAACCATACTGGCCTGAATAACTCAAAGGGATCTGCCCGATTTTTCCATTTCAAAGAAAGAAAATCTCACGCCAACATATTTATTTAATTTCGTATTACTTTGTATCTTACGATATTGCACGAATGCGTAAAAATGATTTCATAGTTTCATCAGGTTTTCGGGTTCCGAACGCGTTAATTTATTCCATGTTCCATTTTTCATACAGGGTTAAACAAGTTGATTAAATTTTGCAATCTAACTAACAGCTAACTCAGAATAACTCAGAATAATTCAAGAGAACTCAGAATAACTCAGAATAACTCAGTACTAGGGTCTAAATCAGAGTGCCATGAAGAGGAACCAAGACTTCATCTCGCATGTATAGTACTATATAAGTGAGAATCTTTGTCTCTAGTTTATAATTAAAGTAATCATTCACACTTTCAACATTGTTATACACGTAGCCGCAATGCATATAAATGCCTAATGTTGGGTATTTCAATTACAACATTGAATTTGAGCATAATATAACGAAATAATAATGCATACACATTTTGTACAATTGATTGGCTTAACACGAGATTTTATGAAATCACAAAGTAGTGATCTAATCATTTTTTACCATCTTTTACCATATACGTGAAATATTAGTACTTTTTTGAATTAAACAATCATTGTTTTCAAATTCAAAAAAAAAAAAATTCTTAAATGCATAAGAATTTTTCGTTAGTAACTCTATATACATAACGATAATAATAATGATAATAATAAAATAATTGTATGCGTGGTCATGTGCTTTTTCTGCGCAATCGATGTAATCTAACGCTAACAGATCCATAATTTTGCAATGATCGTCAAATACCCTGCATTACAAGCTATTACAAGCCAGATAAAAGAACCGGCATAAAAAGACGAAATTCTTCTCATGATTCGAATTTACGTAATCAAAAAAAAAATTTTTTTGATAAAAAATTCTTTTTGCATTCGAATTATTGAACATTCAAAGCGTGAGAAAATTTTCTACGTAATAGATTGAATTTTTGCGCAGTATGGGGAATTTAGAACGTTAATCCAAAAATCATTTAATCTTGAAGAAAAATGATGTTACTGTATCAAATTACGTACGTAAGAGCATCAAAGTAATACCGTATTAAGGAAAGATTTATCTTTTGATAAAAGTCTACATTTAATCAATGTTATAAATAGTCTATACTTTAATAGTGAGGTAATAATATCCGTTTGATTCAGCCTCTAGTTCATTGACTTTGTTTTTTTTTAAATTTTGTGAGTTTAGGAATTCTTTGCATTTAATCAATTCAATTCAGAGTTAGGACTGAGTAGAGATGAACTATAGGGGGTGAGTGATGATTAATCAATAACCTTTGAATCAGATAATTATTGGAAAAAAAAAAATCCAGAACGAAGCTTGTTGAAAATGAATCACCGATAGAACAAACCAGAAAGCACAATAGGTTTTCCTTGTTTTAGATATATTAGCTATTACCATTCCTTTAACGGTTTGTTTTTTTTTTGAATCCGGCCGAATATTAAAATTTAATATTAAATGATGAAATGTTTTTTTTTTTCAATGATCAAGTTTTATTAATCAGATGATTATCTTTTTTTTCTATTTTTGTGCCATCTAAAACTGGTTTTAGAAAATGATAAAATGTAGAGATATATAAACTTTGCTTATTTAGATATACTGCCAGCCTTTTGATCCCAAAGGACATGTAAAATATGGTAAGCGGTGTTTAAGATGAATCTCACAAAAGTTTAAGGAGGCTCAAATTGATGGCGTATTATAATTATGTTAACATCATCATTCTACTACGTACGCTTTATCACGCAATGATGAAAAATAATTGTTATTAGATTACTAATGAAAAAAAATATCATTGTAATCAAAATTATACAGTAGATGATTCTGGTATACATACATATTTTTATTGAATAATTTGACGAAATATCTGACTAAATATTTGACGAAATGAATGAAGCCGAATAAATTTCTCGTTAAATAGGATATCTTATTAGAGAATTCTTATTATCTGTTATGTAGTGAATTCTTATTATCTGTTATGTAGAGAATTCTTATTACGTACGTAGAGAATAATTATTGGGGAATTCTTTATTGGGGAATTCTTACCGGGAAATTCTTATTAAGAAATTACGATTAGGAAATTCTATCAGAGAAATTATCAATTATTAGAGACTGCGTTAAAGAACAAACATTCATGTGATTTAAGTAGAAGATCAATCAACAACCAGGGCCTGAACCCATGTTTCTAATCTTAATTATTGTAACACCGAGCTAACCTTATCGTTATTCTAATCGCTTAAAAAAATCTTAAAAAATGCATGACGTAAGAATTCACCGTAGGACAAGGCATCAAGGCTTCTGTTGTGTCCGATCATATGTACAATAGATTAGCAAAAGCTTTATTTTCAACAATAAAAAATTCCAGGCTTTTGATAGAAGTTACCCCAGCCTGATCATAAATATAGTTCAGACGGCATTATTATCATTATTCCATTATTAACAATTTGATAGTCATTCACTGATCAAAAGAAAATAAAAAAATGTTTTTAATGAATTTTAAACCATTCACACTAATTCACACTAATTCACACTAATTCATACTAATTCACACTAATTCACGCTCATTCACACTCTTTGGGAAAAGTGGTTGATCCACGTAAGTGATCATCAGAATCTACGTGTGACATACATTACTCAGAACTTTAAAAAACTCAACTTTTAGTTTTCTTCATTATTCATCGATACAAAAAAGTTTATTGATTTAATCAATGGACAATAATTGATTTAATTTTTGACATACACGTAAGACGTGGCTATAAACGTTAAAAGGCTATGACAATTTAGGAAAGAACAAATAAGTATGTAAGTCCAGATACAGTATAGATACAGTGTAGATACAGTGTAGATACAGTATACGTAGAAACAATATAGATATAGTATGAGAAAATTTCAAATTCAAGAAAGTGTGTTATTAATCCGTCAAACACGACATTTAACCTCATACAACTTACCTGTTTACAGCTTACTTGTTCAGCTTACCTGTTTGCGTTATTGACATGTGCAACCGCTATTCTTTTATTTTGATGAAAAAAGATATATATACGTATTTGTTCGGTTATTTGAAAATTACCCGATACGTCAAGATATCATAGAAAGTGGTTCCTTGCGTTCCTAATGAATTTTAATGATTGTTCACTTTTTTAGAAAATAATTTTTTTTGACCAACCGTGCCGACTGACCAAAGAATTAACAGATATAGTTATTTGGCTGAATCAGTTGTTAAAAGATAGAAAAATTACTTTTTTTGAGAAAAAAAAAACCAATAAAGTTAATCATTGGCAAAAAGGCTGTCCATTATTCATTTTTTTCCGTTAACGAAAAAAAAAAATCATACAAGTCTTTAAAAAATATTGTTAATTCTGATGAAATGTATTGTTATTATTGTATTTGAAAAAAAAACCTTTACATCGGATCATAAAACAAAGACTTGAACTTGAGAAAAAAACTTTTCGTCCGTATAAAGAAATATAATAATAATAAATTCAT